AGGGACTGGAGACAGGGACTGGAGGCAGGGACTGGAAGCAGGAACTGGAGACAGGGACTGGAGACAGGGACTGGAGGCAGGGACTGGAGGCAGGGACTGGAGGCAGGGACTGGAGGCAGGGACTGGAGGCAGACAATGGAGCAATGCTGCTGACTGGCTTGATCTGCTTTGCTCTCTCAGCCTGTTTTCTTAGACCTACAGGCAATCTGATGGAGGCATTTTCTCAATGGTGGTTCCTCTTCCCAGATGACCCTATCTTGCATCACGGTGACAAAAACCCAGCCAGAACACAGGATCTGGTGTAGCCCAGGCTAGCCTTAAACCCCCTATACAGCTGCATCCAGGCTACAGATGTACACCATCACACCAACTTTATAAGTGCTTGGGACAATCTTAGGGCTTCAAACATGCTAGGCAAGTCCTACACTACAGTTCTTTTTAATGTCCTCCTTGGCACAGGTTGAGCATCTGAAGTCCAAGATTTCAATATACTCCTGAGTTATCATGATGCCTTGAGAGGAAGGTTCCACACCTGCTCTCCCACAATGAATCATAGTAAAAACATAGGCACTCTAAAAATAAATGAAACACATACAGTCCGAGTGAATAAGGTGTGTGGCACATACACAGGTTTGCTCTTGAGGCCTAGGTCCCATCACAAGGTATCATATAATGCAGATATACCAAAATCCACCTGCAACCTCACTTCTGACCCCAAGCACGTCAGACCAGCACTCGGCCTGCACCTTGACTGCCTGTCTTCCGGGTAGGCGGCCTTCACACAGCCTTTCATTTAGCCGAGGAATTCTTGCCTCCTGTTTATCCAGCTCGTGTTTTAATTCCACAGGGGTGGCCGGCTTTGTGGCTGTGTTGTCCTATGGTCTTTACAAGTTAAAGTCCAGAAGAGAGGAGAAGATGTCCCTTCGTCTCATCCACGTGCGGGTTGCCGCCCAAGGATGCGCCGTGGGAGCTGTGACCCTAGGTAAGGTTGCTTAGGGCTGGCTGTCCTCCACAGGCGTGTGTGTGCGTGTGCGTGTGTGTGTGTGCGTGTGCGTGTGTGTGTGCGCGCGCGTGTGTGTGTGTGTGTGTGCGTGTGCGTGTGTGTGTGTGTGTTTCCTTGTTCTGTTCATCCTTGGTAGAAGATAAATACTGGATTTAGACACTATGAGGATGGAGATAAAAAAAGAGTCATCCCGGGGACCAGAGGAATGAAACAGTTAGGAGCCCTGGCTCTTCTTGCAGGGGACTCCGGTTCAGTTCCCAGCACCCATATCAGGAGCTCATAACCACTCATAACTCTAGTTCTGAGAGTTCTGGAATCCCTCTCTGGCTGCTTCCGGCATCAGCACACACAGTGTGTACTACCTACCATACATTCAGGTACTCATACACATAAAATAAAAATAAATCTTTAAGAAAGCAAACTAGTAGGGATGAGGCATCATCTTAATTCTTAGAATTTTCACCTGATAGAACCCAACAAGATTTCCACACCTTAAAGAGGGGGTGGGCATCTTTTTTTTCCTTCTTTTTGAATTTTTTGGGATTCTCTATCTAAGCCTATGGCTGTGGTCCTCAACCTTCCTGAATCTGCGACCCTCTAATACAGCTCCTCATGCTGTGGTGACCCCCAACCATAACATTATTTTCTTTCTTTTTTTTTTTTTTTTGGTTTTTCGAGACAGGGTTTCTCTGTATAGCTTTGCGCCATTCCTGGAACTCACTCGGTAGACCAGGCTGGCCTCGAACTCACAGAGATCCACCTGGCTCTGCCTCCTGAGTGCTGGGATTAAAGGCGTGCGCCACCACCGCCCGGCATAACATTATTTTCATTGCTACTTCATAACTGTAATTTTGCTACTGTTATGAATCCTAATATAACTGATATCTGATATGTGACACACACACCCCCCCCCCCCAAGGAGTTGCGACCTACAGGTTAAGCGCTGCTCTAGAGGCAGGCGCTGGTTCTGCTTCTACTCCACGCAGCTCCGGTCGGTCACAGCGGTGGTTGCGTTCCCCAGCCTATCTGACCAGCAGACGTAGTCACTCAGCACTTTACTTGGGAGGAGGCTTTCTAGAGGCCAAAGATCTAAGCAGCCTTTTTACTTCCATCCCAGGAAGTATGAAGCTTTGCCCAATGTGCAAAGTTCTTACAAGAAAAGATAGGACCATGTCTTAGGGTTTCTATGGCTGAGATGCAACACTGTGAGCAAAGGGCAAGCCGGGGAGGAAAGGGTTTATTCGGCTTACACTTCCATATCTTACTTGTCACTGAAGGAAGTCAGGACAGGAACTCACACAGGGCAGGAACCTGGAGGCAGGAGCTGATGCAGAGGCCATGGAGGGTGCTGCTCACTGGCTTGCTCAGCCTGCTTGCTTATAGAACCCGGGGCCATCAGCCCAGGGATGGCCCCGCCCACAATGACTGGGCCCTCCCCCGTCAATCACTAAGAAAATGACCTAGGGGCTTGCCTACCATCTGATCTTACAGAGGCATCTTTCTAGGTGACTTTAGCTTGGGTCAAGTCGACACAGAACACCGCACACAGCCCATCTGGGGTGGTGGTGAGTTCCCTGTGTAGCCTGGCTGGCCTTCGGGGTGCCGTGTGGTCCTGGTGCTGCTTCGCGAGCGCTGGGATTTCAGCTGTGCACCACCGTGCCTGGCCTACATGTCTGAGGTTTGTTTGCTTGAGACAGAGTACCTTTAGGTAGTCGCGGCTGGCCAGACTCAAAATAACAATCCTCGTGAGAGGATAAGCGAGGACAACTCAGAGCTTTCCGACATGAGCTGGAATACACACACATGACAGACTCGATTTCCACAGTAGTTCCGGTTGGCTGTTTTCCTATGGGCCTCATATACTGGTCCTTTTTTTTCTATGGACATTATATATTTCCTCTGGACCTAGGAGCTTACATACTGCATAAGTGGTACCAAAACCTTTATATATTTTGCTTTTAGCCCAGGCTAGAACTTAGGAAGTAGCCCAGGCTGTGTGGAGCTTAAAATCTTCCTGCTTCAGGCCTCCTGGTACAGAGATTACGTGTGTGCTCCATGCCTGGCTCGGTAGACTGTGCCTAAGTGACCTGCTCAGTGGTGAACTTTATAATACAATGGGAACTCCACCAAAGTTTCTGGAGGCAAGGCTGTTTCACCCAGGCAATTGTAACTAAACTCCAGTGAAACCTGGCAGAACCCCGAGGACCCTAAACTTCTCACACTGGAGAGGTGTACCAAGATGGCGTCAGAGTCCACTTACCTCACACAGACAGCTTCGAGGGGCACATTAAAGACATTTACTCTGCATCACAGTCCAGGCCGTGAGGACTCTGCCCATGGGTAGCTAATCTAAGTGCGTGCCTTTGCAGCAGCAAGGCTCCAGTTCACCGTGGCCTCCACACCACAGTTCCTGCTTCAGTTCCTCTTCGTGGGTCCCAAACCCGAAGATTTGATTGTTGTGATTCCCCACATTATCACAGTTCCCCACCCCCAAACCCGCCTCCCTGGTTAGCAGACCACCCACCAAAGCCACACACGGTCACAGCTGTCATCACCTGCAAACTCCACTTCAATGGCCACAGCTTAGTTCCAGAGCCGCTCTGGCCAGCCACAGGCGTGGACTGCGAATGAATCTTGTCCGCCATCGCGGTCATCAAGACAGAAAGCCAAGCCCCCTCCTTGCCACCACCCGAGTCAGCTGTCCCCGCCTCTTCAAAACGATCTCTTAGGTGCCAGTCCTCCTGTCTCTAGGGTTGCCAACACAGTTCTTTCCAGTTCAGTGGGCACGTGGTCTCCAAGAAGCCTCTCTCGAGAGGACTCTGGTTCCACAGCCCTTCTGTCCACCTTGTGTGTCTGCATCCAGCCGCTCCACGGTGGCGTGAGTGACAAACACCAAGTCCTTGGCGAGCTCACTGGTCCTCTGATGACCAGGTGTCACGGTTTAGAGAGCAAGGGTCTCCATAGGCTTGGTGGCCCCCGTGGGCTTTGAGGAAGTGACAGGCAGTTTGTTCCCTCGGGAAAATCTAATGTGGTAACGTACAGGGACATTCTTGTTTGTCCTGTTGGGAGTGGAAGGTGGGGTAGCCTTGCAGGGGTGTGCCAACGGCCTGCGGTGTACAGGGCACCCTAGAGCAGACACGATCTGGCCTCAACCGGCACCAGCACTGAGGCTGAGAAACTGCCACAGAGGCAGGCAAAGTCTGAGGGAGACAGACTGCCAGAGTGATGGTCCTGGCTCCCTGAGAACATCCGCCCGCTTCGCCAGGGGAGGAGACGCCTGTTTGCGGGCAGCCCCGGCACCTCTCACAAGCTCTGAGAGCACTCTTTATTTCTGAGAATGCTGCGGTGAGCTGCTGGCCTCCTGGGTTCAGTGGGGACAGAGAGCTCTTGATCTCTCTGTTACTGGGAGCATCTGATTGGCAAAGGCAGGGGCGCCTGATGTCGTGATTAGCAGCAGTCCAAAGAGCAACCAGCACTGGCTGAGCCACAGAGATGTGGGGGCCCTGGTCATGATGGGGGCCCTGGTCACGGTGGAGGCCCTGGTTACATGTGGGTCCTGGTTATGGTGGGGGCCCTGGTTATGTGTGGGTCCTGTTCACGGTAGGGGCCCTGGTTATGGTGGAGGCCCAGGTCACAGTGGGGGCCCTGGTTACAGTGGCCCTAGAACTGAAAGCAGGACATCACAGAAACAGGAAAGGCTTGAACTTAAAGGTCACAGCAAGGAGCTCTGGCCCCCAACACACGTAAGTAACACACACACACACACACACACACACACATACATATGCTTATAAACACATAACACATGTATGTACATGTACATCTATGTACAAATAAATGTATCATAATCATCTCTAGCTTTCCCCGAAGAGCCCTGCAGCCATTTACCGGGAAACCTGTGCACAAAGAGAAGATAATCACGTTACTTGGGGCGGGTGAGATACTGGTTGTAGGGACAGCCTCCGGCTCTGCAAGAATTACCGGGAAGTGCCACTCATGGGTTCGCAGGCGGCAGTGTGTTTTCCAGAGGGTCGGCCTCAACACGGCCTGCCGTTTCCTGCCCCGACTGTGTAATTATCTAATTCTGGAATGTGTAATTGGCATATACGTATGCTCAGCAGCTTTCAGGATTCTTTAACAGTTTAGCATTGCTGTGTGTGATGTGTGCATGTACGGCATGCGTGACCCATGGCACACAAGTGAAGGACGACTCTGTCACATGGTTCTCTGTCCACCTTTCATGCTTTCTGAGGTCATCAGGTTTGTGAGGCAGATGCCCTCACCCACTGAGCTGTTTTGACGGCTCCTGTCAGAATCCCCACATTGGTCCCCTGGCCAGAGCCACTGTGGTGGGCCAAGTGGGTGCCATCCTAACGGCCTGCCTTTACCAAAATGGTAAACGAGTCACTACCTTTCTAGAGGGACCTCGGGAATGAGTGCCTTCATCGGGGGCTTTGGGGACACTAGCGGTGTTTCCCAGCACATCCCCACACAGTTTATGTGACAGAAGACGGACCATCCTGGGGCAGGAAACCAGGCTTCTGTAAAACTGAAGCTCTAACACGTAGCCACCAAGTGACTGGGAAAGAAAAGAGCAATCAACAGTGATTCCCAAGCAGGCGGGACGGCTCAGCAGCTAAAGACAACTCGAGTTCCGTTTCCGAGATGCATGTGTGGAAGGAGAGAACCCAGTGTTCTCCGATCTCCCACATGCACTGTGGCACACATATGAACACACACAATAAACAAATGATTCCCAGGTTCCTGGCTTGTACAAGAAATGATCTGTCCCTCCCTCATACAGAGAATGAAGAACAGAGGTCAGGGCTGAGGGGACAGTGAGTTGAGCAGACAGAACAGTGACAGTGAGCACTTACCCCACCGCCAGCCCCTACCTACGCATCATTACCTCAGTGCATCTTCAAGCTTTCATACAGGCGCACACGGTATGTGGAGCATGTTCTTCTCTGCCTCCTAGCCCCTTAGTCCTCGTGGTTCCCCCGGAAGATCTCCTTCTGCTTTCGTGTGTGTGTGTGTGTGTGTGTGTGTGTGTGTGTGTGTGTGTGTGTGTGTGTGCATGTGCGTGTGGTTTATATAGAACCTAAGAACCAGAAATGAGCAAAGACGACTCTCTTCCTGAGGCTGCTACAACCTGCTCGGTCTGATCATCTCCAACTGCATTTATTTCCCACGAACAACAGGACTTCATTCTTTTGACTGGGAAGACACCTCCCTTGTGTAACCAGCCCACATTTTCCTTACCTGTCCTTCTGTTGTTAATGCTTTAATCTGAAACACACCTCTCCAGAGTCCGCCTGCTCTGCTGGGATACAATTCAGTCCTGACCCAAGCCCTGGAGCTCAAGTGTCAGGTTCCCTGAGTTTAAGGGCATGCCCCCCTCCCCACGGAGCTGCACTCACCTCCCATGCCAGCGGTATTCTCATTGGCAAAAGCCTCTGGTGTGACCCAAGAGGCTTATCAATAACACACACTGTTATTTTCCCGGCAGTTAGAAGCTTTTTAGAAGCTAGTACCATTCCTGGGACAAGGATGAGACAATGTTTATTATACAACGACCCATCAAATCTACTCTCTAAGACAGGCACTGTTACCTCATTGTACAGACTGGGAACCTGAGGCTTAGAGAGGAAATGTGGTTGGTTGTTTTTGTTTGTTTGTTTTGTTTTGTTTTGTTTCCAGAGTCACAGAGCAATCACTTTAGACTCAAACCATTAGTCTCACAAAATACTCACTGAAATCCCTATTCCAAATGTCCCCATGGCTAGGGACAGCCCCGTCGTTGGTCGGGTGCTAGGCGAGAATGTTGTGGGCTTCAAACCTAAGATGGCATAAAAGCCATACATAGTGGCACATGCCTGTAATCCTGGCCCTTAGTAGGTGGAGGCAGGCCTAACAAATGTTCAAGGTCATTTCCAACGACTAGCAAGTTCAAGGCCTGGGCTATGTGAGACCCCCAACAAACCCTTTGAATTACAGAACTTACATCCCATGAATAAGGAGGTCCTTAGGGATATGGGAAGAAAATACTGTATCTTGGAAATAAAAAAGCTAGCCAGATGTGGGAGGTCCCACCTGTCCTTCCACTTGGGTCCAGGGATTAGAGGCCACACTGGGTAAGATAGCCAGATCCTGTCTCAAAAGGAAGCCAGGTTAAATAAAAAATAACAATGCTTTGCTAATGTGTGGACTGCTTATATTTAATTTGTAGTTCAAAAATAAATGCACATGTCTGTAATACCAGCACTGGAAACTCTGAGGCAGGAGGCTACCAGTTTGAGGTCAGTCTGGGTTGCATATCAAAACCTTGTCTCAAAAAGGACACATGTTGAGGGCACATTCAAGGTATTTCTTTACACACAATTTAAAAGCTCGGAGAGGCATGGGGATGACTGGCTAGGAACGTGCTTGCTACACAAGTGTGAGAACTGAGTTCAGACTCCCAGAACTCACATAAAGCTGCGTACGATGTGCACATCTGTAACCCCTGTGTCTGTGGTCAGACTGGAGCTGGAGAGAGAACCTCGGGCAGCTGGCTGGCCAGCTAGCCTGGTGGCCACAGGGTAACACAGCAATGGAGGAGGACACCCGAGGCTCTTCTGACCTCCACACATGCGCTGTGGCACAAGCACACCCATGCTCTCACCCACACACACAAACATTAAATCTAATAGAAAGTGTGGGGGCCGCTCTTAGTGTATGAAGTTGTCGTGTTGTATAGAGATAAGGGTGCCACACTTCGATCTCTTAGAGAAGTAGCCGGTTCACCAGTGAAGCAGCAGGTGTCAGTGAGCTGGTACGATAAGACCGTAACTTCAGAGAATACCAACGTTTAGATGACTGGGAAGAGCAAGACTCATCTTCAGCAAGACAAAAGAAGAGAGCCCAGAACTCACCATCCATGGCTTCAAACCCTGTGTAGCCAAGGATGACTGAACTTCTGACATTCCTGCCTCTGCCGTCTGAATGCTGGGATTACAAGTGTGTGCCACCATGCCCGGTTTATGTGGTGGGGGGCATCAAACCCAGGGCTTTGTGCACGCTAGGCAAACATTCTTAGCCACTTCTCCAGCTCTGAGAATGCCATTTCAGTTACAGTGATTTCAGCTAAAATGCAAACATTTTGGCTTGAACTCTATGCATCAATTCTGGTTATTTTAGTATTTCACTCTAAGATTTTTGCAGCGGCTGCCTCAGTTTACCATCACACGGATCTACAGGAAGAATTCACAGGCCTGCATCCTCTGTGCACCCTAGGAAGGCGACAGTGGCCAGTCTTGGGGGAAGCAAAGGATTTAGATAACCAGGTACCCGATGCCTTGACAGGGATTTAGGATGGCGAGGAGACCACAGTTGAGTCTTCTGATGCCTCTTGCTTTTGGACGTGAGATTTACCGACATGCCAAGGATTCACCGAAGGACCCCCTCTCCTTCTGGGCCTATTCAGCTGTGGGCTTCTCTTCCTCAACAGCCCTAGGACCTGGTGGAAGCCACAGCCAGCATCGGCTCCTCACAGCTGATTCCCACACTGTAATCCAGAACGGGCTGTTCCAGTCACCTGTTCATTGGTACACTGAGCACAGGCAGACACTGACTATGTGACTGATGGATTAGGATGCCTGTATCTCAGCAAACTTGCCTGGAATTTCCCAAGATTTCCCACCCCTTCCCTTTTTTGGACAGGATTCCATGTTCCTTAGGCTGGCCTCCAACCACTGTGCAGCCAAAGACTACCCTAATCCTCCTGCCTCTGCCTACCAAGAGCCAGGACTGATGGCATATGTCACCAAGTTCAGCTAAGCTAGCCATGGTAACCCACACCTTTAACTCCAGCACTCAGGAGGCAGAGGCCAGAGGATCTCTGTAGTTCAAAGTCAGCCTGGTCTATATAGTGAGTTCCTGAATAGCTAGAGCTGCACAGAGAAACCTTGTCTCAAAAAACAAACAAAATAAAAATGTAAACTTGAGGATAGTTCATAATAATAGTGGTTTTTAAATTTTAAAAAAATGTACAGCACTTGCATTTTTATGAGTTTACTCTGTGTGCACATGCACACCTGTGTCAATACTGACTGAAACTATGTCAGTGCTGTTTGGTTCTGCAGCCTCTGCATGAACCAAAGCTTCCTGGGAGGTGTCTGTTGGTCTTCTGTTTTGCAATCCTGTGCCAGTTTCAGAAAAGCATGTGGGAAAATGCCAGTGTTTGGGTCTCATGGACACTACTGATGTGTGGTGCCTTTCTGTTCCAGGTGTTCTCTATTCTATGTATAAGGATTACATCAGACCTCGGTTCTTCAGTGTATCCAAAAAATAAAGCCAGAAGCTGGAAGCAAGGAAGAAAGATCCTACTGCGTGCTGATCATTGGAAAAAAGGGATCCCACTGTGTTCCAATGACACTGCAGAATGCCTCGCAGAATTCTCATAAAGTCTGTGCTCATGTCTCGGTGTTTTTAAGAAGTCCTTTCTGAACCCACAGGCAGTTAACTGAGAATCGCCCCTGCTGATGTCTTTTCTCACTCAATCCCCCTTGCAGTACTAACAGCTGGAGCTCAGGGTCTTGTGTGTGTGGGCAGCTCCTGTCTCTGCATTAACAACGCACTGACAGACTTCTAACCAGTTCTTAACTGGTTCTTAACAAAAATGTAGTCACTACACACCAGCAAGCAGTGTGAGTGTGTTTTCTTAGAACAGCTTGTTGGGGAAGCAAGATGGCTCAGGGAGAAAAGGGGGTTGCGGCCAAGCCTGACACCTCAGTTTGACCCCTGCACCCCAAAAAGTGGAGGAAGAGAATGAATTCCCAAGGTCATCCTCTGACCCCCACATGTGTGCACCCATACAAGCAAACAAGTAACTGTAGAAATGGGGTGGGGGCCCGGCAGTGGTGACGCATACCTTTAATCCCAGCACTCAGGAGGCAGAGGCAGGCGGATCTCTGAGTTGGAGGCCAGCCTGGGCTACAGAGTAAGATCCAGGACAGGCACCAAAACTACACGGAGAAATCCTGTCTCAAAAAAAAAAAAAAAGAAAAGAAAAGAAAAAGAAAAAGAAAAAGAAAAGAAATGGGGTGGGGGGTGCTCTTGCAAGTGACCAGGGCTTGTTTCCTAACACCCACATAGTAGCTCACAACCACCTGCACCAGACATGCTTACGGTGCACGAAATACATGCAGGCAAATACTCACACACACAAAAATAAATCTTTATGCAAGGAATGGCTTTTTAAAAAATTGGGGCACGATGGCAGCCTCTAACCTCTTCTGTGAGAAAGTACCCTGTTCCCAGGTATTTATTATAACAAAATAGATTAATACTACTGCACAATGACGCTACATACAAAACCCAGATTTGTTACCATGTAGTAGAAATGATGACATGTTACTAGTTCATTTGTTTTTTAAATTTATTTTGTATCTAGGTGTTTTGCCTACATATACGTGATTGCACCACGTGTGTGCAGTGCCCTAGAAAGCAAAGAGGGCACTGGATTCCCTGGGACTGGAGTGACACATGGCTGTGAGCCGCCCTGAGGGTGCTGGGAGCAGTCACTGAAGGATCTCTCCAGTCCCTTATGTTCTCGGGATGGGATTTGAGATTCTCCTGGTTCAGCCTCCGATGATCTGAGATTACAGGCACAGATCACCATGCCCAGCTAAATGTTTTATTTGGTTTTGTTATTTTTTTACTTTTTGGTTTTTCGAGACAGGGTTTCTCTGTGTAGCTTTGCGCCTTTCCTGGAACTCACTCTGTAGCCCAGGCTGGCCTCGAACTCACAGAGGTCCACCTGGCTCTGTCTCCTGAGTGCTGGGATTAAAGGTGTGCATCACCACCGGCCAGCGGTTTTGTTATTTTTAAAGTTACACTTTGTGTGTGTGTAAGTACTCTTAACTACTAAGCTATCTCCTCAGCAAACCCCCCCCCCATCTTTAAAAACAAACAAACAAAAACCAGGACTTTGAACTTGATACAAAGTCAAGGATGAGCCTGAACTTCTGATCCTCCTGCCTCTATCTCCAGGGTGCCAGGACTGCTGGTGTTCACCACCAAGCCTGTGGTTTTATCAATTTTGATTTCTTTGTTTTTTTCCAGTGCTGGGTTGAACCCAGGGCTTCATGCACACCAGTCAAAGATTCTACCTAATGCATGACATCTCGAGCTCCTGCATGTTCTTAATGACAGGAAGCTTGTCCGGGGCTCACTCTTCAACATCAGTCTTCCCATGGTTTAGTGGGTGACAGGCTACATTTCCTACTGACAGGAGAGGTGTGGCCTTGGGTGACACTCGTGAACTTGTGCCAACTCGACTCTGCTCCAAAGCACACAAGGCACAGAGAAGAGCTACAGAAATCCTCAGAGCTCTGGACCTCTGCTCAACCACCTCACCTTCTTACGTCTGCACAACAGGACAGGCCCACCCTTAACCTTCCTTCTCCTATGTTGTCTCAATGAAAAGAGTATTGAGAAAGAGAACTGGAGAGAAGAGGCCAGTAGACAAGAAACTGGTTCATCTAGGACTGCAATCTGTGTATACAAGACAGAATTTAATTACCGAAGTGAAAATACTGGAATTGATTTTGTCTCAGTTTTAAGATCAGAAGAACTGTGACCTAGGTTGTATGGTTGTTCTCTTGAGTCTTGAGAGACCTATGGCTAGGCATAATGGCACACACATTTAATCCCAGCACTTGGGGGCTGAGGCAAGTGGAATTCTTTAAGTTCAAGGCCAGCCTGGTCTACATAGCAAGCTCCAGGCCAGCCAGAACTACAAAGTGAGACTGTAAAAAAAAAAAGGTCCTGGAGTGGAAGCAAAGGAACTGTAAGGTTTAGAAAAACGCCCTGGCATGTCAGGCGGTGGCGCACACCTTTAATGCCAGCATCTGGAGGTCGCCGCAGGCGGATCAGGAGGCTCTCCAAGTTTGAGGCTAGCCTGGTCTACAGAGTGAGTTCCTGGACAGCCAGGGCTACACAGAGACCCTGTTTCAAAAGACAGAATCAGAAAAAAAGAAAGGAAGGAGGGGAGAAAAAGGAAAAAGAAAACTCCCTGGTACTTAGAGGGTGGCAAAGCTAGGCATATCTGGGGTGGGCGCGTGCACATCTACAGAACACTCCATCCTAACACAAAAGAATATACCTTCTTCTCAGCACCCCATGGAACCTTCTCAAAAACTGTCCACATGCTCGGTCACAAAGCAAATCTCAACAGATACAAAAACATTGAAATAACCTCCTGTATTTTATCAGACCACCATGCCTTAAAGTTAGATTTCAACAACAAAAACTATAGAAAGCCTACAATCTCAAAGAAACTGAATAATGGCCACCTGAACCACCAATGGGTCAAGGAAGAAATAAAGAAATTAAAGATTTCCTAGAATTCAATGAAAATGAAAGTACAACATATCCAAACTTATGGGACACTATGAAAGCAGTGCTAAGAGGAAAATTCATAGCTCTAAATACCCACATAAAGAAATTGGAGAAATCTCACACAAGCGACTGACTTAACAGTATACCTAAAAGCTCTAGAACAAGAAGAAGCAAACTCACCCAGGAGGAACAGACACCAGTAAATAATCAAATTGAGGGCTGAAATCAATAAAATAGAAACAAAGAGAACAATGCAAAGAATCAATGGAACAAAGAGTTGGTTCTTTGAGAAAATCAACAAGATAGACAAACCCTTATCCAAACTAACCAAAAGGCAGAGAGAGAATATCCAAATTAACAAAATCAGAAATGAAAAGGGGGACATAACAGGCAACGAGGAAATCCAGAGAATCATCCGGTCATACTTCAAAAACCTGTACTCCACAAAATTGGAAAATCTGAAAGAAATGGACAATTTTCTGGTATCATATACCAAAGTTAAATCAAGACCAGATAAACTATTTAAATAGACCAATAACCCCTAAGGAAATAGAAATAGTCATTAGGTCTCATAAACCAAAAATAGCCCAGGACCAGATGGTTTCAGTGCAGAATTCTACCAGATTTTCAAAGAAGAACTAATTCCAATACTCTTCAAATTGTTCCACACAATAGAAACAGAAGGAACCCTACCAAACTCTTTTTATGAGGCTACAGTTACCCTGATACCCAAACCACACAAAGACACAACAAAGAAAGAGAATTACAGACCGATCTCCCTCACGAACATTGATGCAAAAATACCTAACAAAATATTGGCAAACCGAATCCAAGAACACATCAAAAAAAATTATCCACCATGACCAAGTAGGTTTCACCCCAGGGAGGCAAGGATGGTTCAACATATTAAAATATGTCAATGTAACACACCATACAAACAAACTGAAAGAAAAAAAAGACTTATGATAAAAGAATGTGTGTGTGTGTGTGTTTGTATTATGTGTGTGTGTGTGTGTGTGTGTGTGTGTGTGTGTGTGTGTGTTTGTATGAACCGCTGGGGATCATACCTGAGATCTTGCCTAAGGTAGGCAAGAGCCCTACAAGTGAGCAGCACCTCTAGACAAAAATTTTTAGTTATTCAATATGAAGTTTATTATAAAAAGTTTGAGAAGAATTTCTGGTTAGCAATTGGAATTAAAAAACAAAAATCTACAACCTGCACACAGGCAGGCAGTGGTGATATGTGGACTGATCATCTGGGTTCCCACGTAGTACAGGTCTCATACCACTTGTTACACACACACCTAAAATGCTTAGAATGCCCAGGACACCCAACAGTATCAACAGGAGTGACCTTAGAAACAGAGTTAGGATCTAGCTATGGTATGCCGAGTGTCAGAGCTTCAAGTGGACAGAAAGGACAGCCTGGACAGAGAGGACACCCTGGACAGAAAGGACAGCCTGGACAGAGAAGACACCCTGGACAGAAAGGACCGCGTGGAGAGAAAGGACAGCGTGGACAGAGAAGACACCCTGGACAGAAAGGACGGCGTGGGCGGAGAGGACGGCGTGGGTGGACAGGGCGGCGTGGGCGGACAGGGCGGCGTGGACAGAGAGGACGGTGTGGACAGACAAGATGGCGTGGATGGACAGGACAGCGTGGAGAGAGAGGACGGCGTGGACAGACAGGACGGCGTGGAGAGAGAGGACGGCGTGGACAGAGGACGGCGTGGACAGAGAGGACGGCGTGGACGGACAGGATGGCGTGGACGGACAGGACGGCGTGGACGGACAGGAAGGCGTGGACGGACAGGAAGGTGTGGACGGACAGGACGGCGTGGACGGACACAGACACTAGAAAAACAATGGTAACCAATACAATCAACACGGGACAGACGGAAGAGAGGTTTCGTTAAAACTCGTGTGCCAGGGACTGGGGAGGCGCTTCAGTTGGTGAAGCGCCTGCTGTCCAAGACCTGAGTTTGGTCCTCAGCACAGTGTAAAATCCACAGGTAGCAGCAAATATGTAACCCCAGACTGAGGCACAGGGGCAGGAGGACCCCCAAACTCACTG